ACCACAAACCTAAACTGTAACTCCTGACACCAGATACTTTGAAAAGCTTTCAAGTTGTGCAGAACTGGATAAGCAAAGAAAGGAAAAAATAAACCTACATCATTTATTTTACTTCATCTAGTAGCTAAAAGAAAAAGGTGCTGGAAAGGGGGGAAAACAACACTTCAGACCTGCAAAATTAAAAGAAAGGTTCTGAAAAATTAAAAAGATAAAGTTCCTCTTTGATGTTTAAAACAAACTTCAGAATTTCAAACTATTTTGTGCATGTTCTCTGGAGTTCTGCAGAGATCTGGGGTGCTGGGGTGTGGCTCTGCTCCCCCTGGCTCCAGAGGGGATGAGGGGGGGCTTGGCTCCCCCCAGCTGGTGCAGGGAGCCTTGGCTAGGGAAGGATGGGAGCAGGCACTGAAGCCCCCAGCCCACCCTGCTCTGCAGCCCCACAGCCCAGGAGAGGCAGGGATGTGAGCAGGAGCTGGCCAGGCAGCAGATATCTGTGAGCCAACCCCCTGCTTGTCCTTTTCCCTCATGCCTGCACAAGGAATGTTTAATAAAACCCCTGCTGATACCATAGTTTTAAATATACATGTTTCAGATGCTGAGAGTTACCTTTTGACAGGGATGAGAGAGACAGCTATAAGTGCTGGGTTGGAATGGAGTCATCACATTAGTGCTCAAACAAAGGGCTGCAAGCTGCACCACTTGCTTATAATTCAAAGCTTTCCTTATTCTACAGGGTGGGCAGATCAGGATCTCTGTTCTGTGCTGCCCAGACCCAGCAATGAGATGGGTGAGTGTCAGGTCCTGGTGCCATCCTGCTCCTCAGCCTCCTCCTGTGCCCCCCTGATGCTCCAAGGGGGATGGTGCAGCTCCCCAGCATGGGGTGCAGCTACAAACTGGGCTTGCAGGGCCAGCTCCTGGAGGGGGTTTGGCCAAGGGGGACGTGGGGACCACCATGTCAGCACCTCCCTCCCTCCCTCCCAGCCAGGCCAGCAGGCAGCTCTAAGGGCAGCATCAGGTGCATTGCAACAGGAGTGCTGGGCTTTGGATAAGCTAATTGTGTTGCAAGGAGTGGAGCGAAGCTTTTAGATTTCAGAGCCAACGTGTGGCATCTTTATTAATGTGCCTACTTGAGTTCCCTGGGACGCGATGTTTTCTCCTTACCCTGGCCATCCATCTGAACTGATAATAGGACTATTAATCCATTTTGTTGACAGCATGCACAGACCTCCAGTGAGGCAGGAGATGGGGGAGAGGTGGGGCTGCAATCGATGCTTGTTTTGTTCCAAAGGGATTCCGTCAGAGCATCAGCTGCAGGTGAACAGATGGAGTGTTAACCAAGGTTACAGGTGATGTGCAGCTGGCCAGATGTGGCCTAGTGTTTCCTTGGTCAACTGGAGAGCATCCTGCAGAAAAGCACTGAGAGGTGAGATGTGCTAGAGAAGCCAAACCTTGTGCTCCAGGGCACGTCAGTGGTCAGGTTCTACACTCAGCAACCTCATATCAGTTCTTGACCCACTTCTAATCCCCCTTCATACCCATAGAGAGGTGAAGTTCCTCTGATTTCAGGGCCTTTTCAGCCCTGCCTGCCTATGAGGTGACTGGCACAGCATCTATTGTGTCAGTGATTTCCTTTATAGCAGCAGAAATACATGAATGCAATAAATAAAAAAATGCAAGTATTTTATAAGTGTGATCCATAAAGAAATATTTCAGTGGAAAAAGAGCTGGGAAATGAAATGAGGTGCTTTCCTGCCCAGCTCTTGCTCCTTTGCCCAGCCCCTGCCAGCAGCTGATCCCAGGCACCTTTATATTCAGACTGATCCTGTCTGGTTTTAAATATCTCAAGCCACAGAACTTTCTCCCTCCAGGGAACCACGTCGCAGCTTCATAATTTTCGCTGTCAGCAGAGGGGATTTTTGCCCCTGTGACATTCAACCTAAATGCTCCATTTCTTCATTTCCTGTCATCCCTTCTGGTGATGCCCCTTGTACTCTATTAAATAATTCCTTCCCTCCCTCTCTATTTACTCCAACCAGATCTGTAAGGCTCTTAGTTTGTCTCCCCACGGACAGCTCTTAACCAAGCAATATATATATTTAATCCTTTTAATCTCCTTTCAGAAATCAGTCTCTCCGTGCCTTTGATCATTTGTGTGGCTTCCCCTCTGAACTGCCGCCAGCCCGTGCGTGCCGAGGGACCCCCGCGCTCGGCTGAGCCACACCTGAGCCTCCCGCAGCTCCGGCTGCGCGGGATCCCTTTGCCCAGCAGCCTCCTGCGTCCCCCTGCTGACCCCTGCCCCCAGCCCTTTCTCTGGGCCGTTGCTCTGGATCTCGGCGTGGCTTGGCTGGGCTCAGCCATCGCTGCCTGTCCTGCTGTCGCTCCGACTCGCCTTTGCATCCCAGCCGCGCTCGCTCACATCTGTCCAAGGCACGGCTCCTTTCGCTGCTTCCTGCCCATATTTCTAATCTCACTAGGCCCTTTTTTGTGTTAATTTTCTATGCTTGCTGGAGCTCACAGCACCTCCCAGTATAGCATCATCTGCCAAATTCATTAATGTGTAGTTTACTCCCTCTTTCCAGGTCATTAATGAGGGTATTAAATGAGAGCAGCCCTAACCTAGATCCCTGCAGTACCCCATAAACACCTCCCCCTGCTTCTAATTACCCTTTGTTTATGATCCCTCAGCCAGGTTTTCAATCCACATGGCACAGTTCAAGTCATCTGAATTAATTTTTTCGTGGAAGACTTCGAACAGAGCTTTGCCCCCTCGTGCCGTCCTCACCTGCCACCCCCTCCATGTCCCACTGCCACTCCCCCGTGGGTCACAGTGACCTACGCTGCTGCTTTCCGGAGAGCAGAAGGAACACCTGCTAAAGGCTTTTTCCACTGTTCCAGAACACGGCAGCGGAAACGGAGGGGCCCTGCGTCCCTCCGGTGTCCTGCGGGAGGGACGGGGCTCCCCTCGGCTGTCGCTGGGTGCTGTGTCCCTCCCTGGACGGGTGGCACCTCATGGGGTGGCGTCCGTGGATGGATGCTGCCCTGGGGGATGGAGGCAGTGGGTGGATGCTGTCCGGGACAGGTGCCGCTGCAGGACTGGTGTCCCCGGAGGGATGCTGTGGCGCGGGATGGGATCACGGGGACGGTGTCTCTGAACGGGAATGGTGGTGGTGGATGGATGCTGTCCCTGGCGGTATCCCGGACACCCTCTACGGGCCCTCCCAGCCGTGTGGGGCCCGTGGCCGTGCCGCCCGAGGAGCCCCGCCTGGGCCGGGTGTCCCGTTGTCCCTGTCTTGGGGTCCCGGTGCGTCTCTGCGTCTCGGTGTCCCGTTGTCCCTGTGTCTCGCGGTCCCGGTGTCTCTGCATCCCGTTGTCCCTCGGTCCCGTTGTCCCCGTGTCCCGTTGTCCTGGTGTCCCTGTGCCCCTCTGTCTCGGGGTCCCGGTGTGTCTCTGTGTCCCGTTGTCCCTGTGTCCCGTTGTCTCTGTGTCTCCGTGTCCCGTTTTCCCCGTGTCCCGTTTTCCCTGTGCCGTCCCCCGCGCGGCCGCGAGATGGCGCCCTTGTGCCTGGGAAGGCGCGGCGGGTCCGACGGCGCGGTCGGGCCGGGCCGGGCCGGGCCGGGCGGGGCGGGGCAGAACCGGGTAGGACCGAGCCGGGTCGGGCCGGGCCGTGCCCGCGGGGCGCGGAAACGCCGAGGCGTCGGTTCCCGGTGCCAACCACACAATGTGACCTGTGCCGCGGCAGATGCACCGGACCCGCGCCCCGCTGCCCGACCGCTACCGACCGGCGCGCTGCGAGGGGGTTTGCCCGGGGGACCGGTCCCCGTTTAACCCCGGCGAGGGGAACAGCGTGTTGGGAGGTCTCGGAGCCACGACCCGCCGGGCACGGAAAGGGAGGGTGTCCCCCTCCCGGTGAAACCTTCCCCGGGACCCTGCGTACGGCGGACGCGGAGACAGGAGGTAAGGCACGGGCGCACACACCGGGAACGCTTTATTTCATTGTTTATTTCATTGTTTACTTGTTTACTTCATTGTTTATTTCATTGTTATTTCATTGTTTATTTCATTTCACGGTAGCGCGGTGTTTCCTCCAGGGATCAGCGCGGTGCAGCGAGCGGGGCTGGAGCCTCCCGGGGGCGTTGGGCGGTCCCGGGCCCCTCGGCGGCTCCCGGGAACAGTGCCCAGAGGGACGGGGTCGTGCCCCACAGGGTTCAGTCTCTACTGAACGGACTCGGAGCGCTCCGCGGGACCCGGCGGGGATCCGCCACCGCCCAGTGCGCACCCGCTAAAGAATTAATCAGTGACCGCAGCCGCGGAGCAAAAACACCGCTGCGTCCTCAGCTCCCGGGCAGCGGGACGGGCTCAGCGGAGCAGCACGGGAAGCAAGGACAGCAGGGACAGGACGGACTCCCGGTTCGGGCAGCGTGTCCGTCCAGTCCCGCTCCGCTCCGCGCGGCTCCGTGCCCGCTCCGCTCCCGTCCGCGCCGCTCCGCCGGCTCCGCCCCGGCCCCGCCCCCCGGCCGGCGGCGCGATCCCATTGGCGGCGGCGCGGCGCGCCGGCCCCGCCCCCGAGCGCCCATTGGCCGGAGCTCAGCGCCGCCCGCCCCCGCGCCGCCCGCCCCCGCGCCGCCCGCCGGCGCTCCGGACTGCGGGCAGTGGCGTGCGGCCGCCGCAGCGAGCGCCGGCGGGAGCGGGCTCGGCTCGGCGCGGCTCGGCACTGCACGGCTCGGCTCCTCGCTTCTCGCTCCGGTACCGCTCGGCTTAGCATCCCGCTTCTGTTCCCGCACCCGCTCGCCATGCCCGGCCCTTCCGCGGCGCCGCCGGCACGGAGCGCCTGAGCGGACGGCGTTGGCGTGTGCGCGGGGGACCGCGGCTCCGGTGCCCGCAGCCGGCCGGCCGCCGCCGGGGCAGCCCGGCGGGCGCTGCCCGCATGAGCGCGGCGGGCCCCTGAGGCGCGCGGCCGGCGGCCGTCGGGGCGCGGCGCGGCGGGCGGAGGGGGCGGCGCGGCCATGGGGGCTCTCCCGGCGCTGCTCGGGGCCGCTTTGCTTTGGGCCGGCGCCGGGGCCCTCGTCAACCTCAAGTACTCGGTGGAGGAGGAGCAGCGGGCCGGCACGGTGATCGCTAACGTCGCCAAGGACGCCCGGGACGCCGGGTTCGTGCTGGACCCCCGGCAGCCCGCCGCCTTTCGGGTGGTCTCCAACTCGGCACCCCACTTGGTGGACATCAGCCCCGGGTCCGGGCTGCTGGTGACCAAGCAGAAGATCGACAGGGACCTGCTATGCCGGCAGAGCCCCAAGTGTGTCATCTCGCTGGAGGTGATGTCCAGCTCCATGGAGATCTGCGTGATCAAGCTGGAGATCAAGGACCTGAACGACAACGCGCCCAGCTTCCCCACGGACCAAATCGAGCTGGAGATCTCGGAGACGGCCAGCCCTGGCACCCGGGTGCCACTGGAGAGTGCCTATGACCCGGACTCGGGCAGCTTTGGTGTGCAGAGCTATGAGATCACCCCCAATGACCTCTTTGGGCTGGAGACCAAGACGCGGGGTGATGGGTCCCGTTTTGCTGAGCTGGTGGTGGAGAAGAGCCTGGACCGTGAGACCCAGTCCCACTACAGCTACGTGATCACGGCTCTGGATGGTGGTGACCCGCCCAACTTTGGCACGGTGGAGCTCAGCATCCGCGTCATCGACTCCAATGACAACAACCCGCTCTTCGAGGAGCCAGCCTACACCGTCAGCGTGCCTGAAAATGCCCCTCCGGGGACGCCAGTCATCCGCCTCAATGCCTCTGACCCGGACGAGGGCACCAACGGCCAGGTCCTCTACTCCTTCCACAGCTACGTCTCTGAGCGGGCCCGGGAGCTCTTCCAAATCGACCCCCAGAGCGGCCTCATCACGGTGAGCGGTGCCATCGACTATGAGGAGGGTCACGTCTACGAGCTGGACGTGCAGGCCAAGGACTTGGGGCCTAACTCCATCCCTGCCCATTGCAAAGTGACCATCAGCGTCCAGGATGCCAACGACAACCCGCCCCTCATCAACCTGCTCTCTGTCAACAGCGAGCTGGTGGAGGTGAGCGAGAACGCCCCGCTGGGGTACGTCATCGCCCTGGTGCGCGTCTCGGATCGCGACTCCGGGGCCAACGGGCGCGTGCAGTGCAAGCTCCTGGGCAACGTGCCTTTTCGACTGCAGGAGTACGAGAGCTTCTCCACCATCCTGGTGGATGGGCGGCTGGACCGGGAGCAGAGGGACCAGTACAACCTCACCATCCAGGCTAGGGATAACGGCATCCCTTCCCTGCAGGCCACCAAATCCTTCACCGTCAAGATCACCGATGAGAATGACAACCATCCCCACTTCTCCAAGCCCTACTACCAAGTCATTGTGCAGGAGAACAACACCCCAGGGGCTTACCTGCTGTCGGTGTCAGCCAGAGACCCTGACCTGGGCCTCAATGGCAGCGTGACCTACCAGATCGTGCCCTCCCAAGTCAGGGACATGCCTGTCTTCACCTATGTCTCCATCAACCCCAACTCTGGAGATATCTATGCTTTGAGGTCCTTCAATCATGAACAGACCAAGGCCTTTGAGTTCAAGGTCTTGGCTAAAGATGGGGGTAATCCCTCTCTGCAGAGCAACGCCACTGTCAGGGTGATCGTCCTGGACGTCAATGACAACACGCCCGTGATCACGGCCCCGCCGCTGGTCAACGGGACAGCAGAGGTGTACATCCCCAGGAACGCAGGGGTTGGCTACCTGGTGACAGTGGTCAAGGCAGATGACTATGACGAGGGTGAAAATGGCAGACTTTCCTATGAAATGGTGGAAGGAGACAGAGGGTTTTTTGAGATCGACCAGGTCAATGGAGAAATAAGGACCACCAGAGCCTTTGGGGAGAATGCCAAAACAGCCTATGAGCTCATCGTGGTGGCTCACGACCATGGGAAAACATCTCTCTCGGCTTCTGCCTTGATTTTGATATACCTGTCTCCAGCTCTGGATGCCCAGGAGTCCATAGGATCTGTTAACCTCTCCTTGATTTTCATTATTGCCCTGGGTTCTATTGCAGCCATTCTTTTTGTCACCATGATCTTTGTGGCAGTCAAGTGCAAAAGGGATAACAAGGAAATCAGGACCTACAACTGCAGGTAAAGAAAGATACCTTTGTTTATGTTCACCTGCGGGTGTGCTTTGATTTTTGCCATCGCGGTTACTTTTGCATTTGCTGCCGTATACTTGGGGGGTGGTGAAGAGGGGTGGATTTGCCTTAGGAACAAAAGTGACGTTCCTGTCCCCGTAAGAAAATTTCTTGCAAAGCTTTAAGAAATTGCTCCCTGCGAGGAAGAGCGGAGTAACGAACCGACTTAATCGTGCGGCTCGACAATCTGTTGCAGCATCCCTGATTTTTCCATCGGAAAAGCGGGGAAGAACGGTTCTACAGGAGCGGTTTTCCAGGGGCATGGCTGGTTCCCGTGGGCATCCCCCCATCCCCAGCACAGCTCCCGGGGCTGGCAAAGGCGGGGGGGGAGGAAAAAAATCCTCCGTGGCCACCGCAGCATCCCCGCAGCAGACGGTGCGGTGGCATCGCCGAGCCTCGCTGGCCCTTCAAAGGAGCTTTTGTGTGCCCGCTGCGGCTCCTCGCCACGCTGGCCAGCAGCAGGAACAGCGGCAGAGCCCCCCCGGCGAGCAGGGCAGGGATGGGGCCAGCCAGGGTTTTGGTTCTGCCCCGGTTTGGGTGAGCGCTCCGCGGTCCCAAATGCCGGAGGGGAGGTCAGCCCCGAGCCTGGAGCCCTGAAAGGCTGATAGGGGAAATCCAGTCCCCCTGAATATGTAACAGCCTGGCGATTATTGTCTCTCTTTTACTATTCTCTGTGTTACACAAGTTAGGAGACAAATGCTAACCACACATGAATATCAATCAGATGCCATAAAAGAGCAGCTGCAATGCCTCATAAATGGTTTAATCCTGTTACTGGTGAAATAGCCATGACTTCTCCATTCCTTCGGCACCGAGTCGTTTCAGAGAGGAGGGATGGAAATTAATTTTGCTCTACCTTGGAAACGCACGCTCGCCCCTGGCAATTCAGCGGCGCGGGGGGATGTGCGGTCTTTAAAGTTTTATTTACGCAGAAATAATGCCGGAGAGTCGGGGCATTGTACCCCGTTTTCACAGCGTAAAGTGCGTTTATAAGCCTTTTTGCTCGATGGGGGAAAAATCATCTGCAAATAAAGGTCGGTCTGTGCTGTATTATGGGATGTCTAGCTTCGAGTGAAAGCTCACAGACCAGATTTCTTGCCAGCTCGGCCCATTAAAGGAGGCTAGGACCTGAATGGATAAAAAGATAAAAATCATGTTGTGGCGGTGCCCCTAACAGCTTCTCACATACGTATAAACCCCGGGTTTACTGTCACGGCTTAGGGATTAATGAAGTGCGGTTTAATTAAATAATTGGTCAATAGAGAAAGGACGGCAAAATGAATGCCTGCGGGAAATAATTGGGCTCTCGCATTGCCAAACTTAAACATTTAGGTAAACAAAACAATTAAAGCTTCATCAAGCATTGTTAGACGAGTCAGCAGCATATAGATTGTTGGCACGACAGAAAGCCCTGCCTTGCTCTGATTTATTTGCACACTCGGGGGTGTTAGCAGTGTGTGTCTGAGCAGGAGTCAGCTGCAGAGGTGGGGAAGCACCAGGCAGGCTCAGCAGCAGCAGTGACCATGGGGCACCCTCTCCCCACGCCTCCAGGCTTTGCAGTGCCTTGCTTTAGAGATTCTTCACAAGAGCTGCTGGAGAGTCTTCAAAAAACGTGTTAATTTATGAGGCACATACGAGGGCTGTTCGACTTAGTGGCATTTTCGTGCTCAGGCAATTAGCTTTCTGGAGCAAGAATATTTGTCCAAGATTTGCCTTTCCAGATAAACTCTATTATTTATTCATCCCATTATTTTTGTTGCAGCTATTGGATTTTATTTTTTTAATGCTGTTATCATAACAAGAAGAGGAGCAACATCCTGACTTTCAAATGTGTATTTCTGACTCTGCATAGCATTTGATGTGCTTCCCTAGGAAATACTGAGTTGCCCAATGCTGTGCATGCACAAATTCATGGCGGGGACTGTTGTGGTGCTCACTGTGGGAAGATGAGCCACAGTCACTCTGAGCCGAGCAGACCCCACTAATGCAAGGTGCAAATAATTTGTCATTATTTGCTTGGGTGGTGCTTTGCAGTAACTTTTTTTCCCCTGGTGTTTTGCAGAAGGCAAACAAGGCACTTCATCAGTTGATTCTTTTGGCAGGTGGGAAGCAAAGAGGGAAGGAAAGGCAGAGAAAAACAAGCTTGCAGTAAAATAAAAAGGTCAAGAAGGATCGTTTTTCTTTGCAAAACACACGGTTGTTGTTCTCTGATTTCTAGAAGGTGAAAGCATTTCCCAGCAGATGTGCGTGTCAGGGTGAGGGAGAAATGGAATTCAGTTGGAGAAAAGATCAGGTATGATCAGGAGACAGTCAAAACACCAGCAATTTAGATAAAGCATTAATAAACAAACAGCCTTTGGAGTGTGAGAGAATTGAGCTTGCCAGCTAGGACTGCTTCTGGGTCTGCTTTATTTACTGCTATGGAAAATGAACTGGGAAAAAAATCTGCCATTCGTTTTGAATTTTCATTATGGGAACCAAATTAAATCACTTTTAAAATCCTTATTATGCATGGAAATGAATGCAGGTACCCTTTTCAGTTCATGGGTTTTAACATCCCCATTTTTCTCTTCTGCAGGCTGGACTTTACTTCTAGTAACCCAATATCAGCAATAACATACGCTGGATCAAAACAGAGGCATTTTACCTTCCCATTCTTTCACATATTTGACCTGAGAACATTGTAGATATGAAAATAAGCTAAAGGCTGTGTCGTGCCACCAGCCCCAAACCATGACGTAACGTGCATGACTAAGAGGGCTACAGGAGATGGGGGCCGAGCCCTCGGGGTTTCTGCATGGGTATTTAGCAGGGCAGGGTTTGGGATGCTCTCAGCTTCTCATTTTCCCTCTGTCCCCCAGAATCGCAGAGTACTCGTACGGGCATCAGAAGAAATCAAGCAAGAAGAAGAAGATCAGCAAGAACGATATCCGCCTGGTGCCGCGGGACGTGGAGGAGACGGACAAAATGAACGTGGTGAGCTGCTCCTCTCTCACCTCCTCCCTCAACTACTTCGACTACCACCAGCAGACCCTGCCCCTGGGCTGCCGCCGCTCCGAGAGCACCTTCCTCAACGTGGAGAGCCAGAACAGCAGGAACGCCGGCTCCAACCACATCTACCACCACACCTTCACGGGCCAGAGCCCCCAGCAGCCCGACCTCATCATCAACGGCATGCCCCTGCCCGAGGTGGGTGTGGGCACGGCTCCGGGGCCAGGAGAGGGGCAGCTACCCCAGGAGAGGGGTACAGGCACTGCTGGCTGCAGTGTGCTGGGCACAGACACCTGGATGGGTTCTGTGTGCTGGACAGAGCACACCTGGATGGGTTCTGTGTGCTGGGCAGAGCACACCTGGATGGGTTCTGTGTGCTGGGCAGAGCACACCTGAGTGGCTTCTGTGTGCTGGGCACAGACACCTGGATGGGTTCTGTGTGCTGGGTGGTTTCTATGTGCTGGACAGAGCACACCTTGGTAGTTTCTGTATGCTGGACAGAGACACCTGGATGGTTTCTATGTGCTGAACAGAGCACACCTGGATGGGTTCTGTGTGCAGGGCACAGACACCTGGATGGGTTCTGTGTGCTGGACAGAGCACACCTGGATGGTTTCTGTGTGCTGGGCACAGACACCTGGATGGTTTCTGTGTGCTGGGCAGAGCACACCTGGATGGTTTCTGTGTGCTGGGCACAGACACCTGGATGGGTTCTGTGTGCTGGGCACAGACACCTGGATGGGTTCTGTGTGCTGGGTGGTTTCTATGTGCTGGACAGAGCACACCTGGATAGTTTCTGTGTGCTGGGCACAGACACCTGGATGGTTTCTGTGTGCTGGGCAGAGCACACCTGGGTGGTTTCTGTGTGCTGGGCAGAACACACCTGGGTGGTTTCTGTGTGCTGGACGGGGGGGGGAGGCAGTGAAGGAGTATGGGCAGGGGGAGCAGCCAGCACTCACCTGTGGGTTCTGGGGCAGCCCTGGTGTGTGGCCATGGGTGGATGTTTCATCTCCAGAGACCTCAGGAGTGCCCAGGTGGCAATGGGCCAGGCCAGGCTGCCTCTACCTGTGCAGGAGGCTGGAGGTGGCTGCTTTGCAGGTGGATTCTGAGTGTGGTGATGCTCAAGGGAGGAGACACTTGCCTTCACAGAAGTTTTTCTGAAAGGTTGTTGGAAGGGGTGTTGGTGGTTGTTGCTCTGGAGGCAGCTGGCTGTGCTGGGGATGCAGACAGTGCAGGATGCCCCACTGTGAGCACCTGCACACCTGGCCCAGTGCTGTCCCTTCACTGTGCAGGACCCTGGCTGCCATGGCAGGGGTGTGTGGTACCTGCTGGAGGCAGGGAAAGGGACCACTCTCATCCACACCATCCTCATCAGTTTCTTCTAATTCTTTGGCTTTCCTGTACATCACAGGCATCATTTAGTGTTGCTTGTTTGTCTCTCTTTGAATTATTGTTTGGTTTTAAGCAAAACAATCAAAGGTTTGTCATGTTTCCTGCTTTGAACAGAGTAACAAAGCTGAAAAAGCAGCTGAAATATTTATGGCTCACTCTGTTTTGTGTTCAGTGCGCTGGTGTAAATGCAAGATGCTGCTGCTGAAGGCAGTGGAGCTGCTTCAGATTCACCCTGGTGGTGCAGAGATCCGAGTCCAGCCTTGGGGGCTGGTCCTGCTGTGGCTGTATTGGCAGAATGCTCACTGAACCCTGGTGTTTGACTTCCCCTGAGGCAGAACAGCTCTGAGAGGTCTTGTACCAGTGCTGGCCTCTATGAGTGACCATTGCTGTTGGCATGCTGCAGGCAGTGGTCCCTGAGGAGTTCCTGTCTGCCTGGAGCAGTGTCTTTTGGAGAGGATTCTGGAGTGCATCTCTGGCTGGTGCCTTGCTATGGGCACTGGAGCAGTGGAGCATCCTGTCAGCCTGTGATTCACTGCCACCAGTCACAAAATCCATCACATGCTGGCATTCTCCAGAAGTGCATGCTGGCAGTGGGAGGTCTCAGGTGCCAGGGAGGATGGAAGGACCATCAGGAACATCATAACTCAGCTGAGAAAGTTAACAGGCAGCTGCATGGGGAAGGCAGTGCTGCCTGTGCTTCTCTTTGTTCCAACAGCTGGGCTGGGGTCGCAGGGAATGTGCCCTCCAGAGATTTCCCTGCCTTGTTCACCCTCTTAGGAGGGAGATGGGATCCTCATTTCTCCCTGTGGCTCCAGCCCCATTTTCCCATCACTTGTGCAGGTGAGATGCACTGTGAAGAGCTGGTAGCTTGCCTGGGGAAGGAAGTTTGTGTGTTGTAATGAGTGGCAGTGGAACGTGTCCCCCAGCAGCCCTGGGAGCTGGCAGGAGGGCAGCAGGCAGCTCCCCACTCCTGCCAAGGGACTGTGCAAGAGAAACATGTCCTGGCAGGGATCTGCTCGCTCCCTGGAGGTGCTTTTGGATAAAAGGGCAGGACTGGGGTACAGGCTGGAGAAATGCCAACTAGAAGCTGTTTGGAAGTTTAGTTTAGGGTGGGAATGTGGATGTTATTTGGCAGAACCCCAGTGTTACACTTCCAGCTGTTGCAGGCAAAGCTTATCTTGCAGGTGGTGTGGATTCTATTGGCTTCTAAAAATTCCGGTGGGCCCTGAGAGTGAGGTGGTTCATGGTGCTTGTGTGACAGCCCTGTCCTGGCACACAGGGTGACACAGAAACTCCACAGAAGTTGTTTCCGTGGAGGAGCATGGCAGCCCTGCACCCCTGCAGCCCATCACTGCTGTGGTGAGATGCCGTGGCTGTGCAGGGTGCTCTTGGCACAGCTCGGGGTGGTGAGCATTTAATAAACACAGTCCCTGCCCAGAGTTTACAGAGCCAAAGCGTTCCCTGCAGAGCTTGCAGTGGTGCTTTGTCTGGGCTGGTTTGGATGGCTCCCGGTGATGAAGCCGCCGCTGTTTCCCCCGGGAGCCTTGATGAGGTGTCAGCATCGGGGAGATATCATTGCTGCTCCACCTAGGAGTGACTTCCCCTGATGGGAAGGCAAAGCATGGGTTGATAACAGATAAAAGACGAGGTAAATGTGTCTCTGGCAGTGTCACTCGGCATATGGTGGCTGTGGCTGGGGGTGAGCGATTGCCTCTGCACACACACGCTGCCCCAGCAGCAGAGGGTTTGTGATGTAGCCGGTCTTTAACGTGAGCCTCATTTACTTTAACAGTCAGGAGCCTTGAAATAAAAGTCCCCGAGGATGGCTTGTTTGTGGAGCTTCAGGAAATGTTGCTTCTAGTGCTGTGGCAGGTCTCGGGGCTGGGAATAATTGGGTTTGTTGGTGCTTCTCATCTTTCCCTGGTGATCCGGAAAGGATTAAAGAGTGGTGTCTGTGGGGGCTGCAGCCCTGCTCTGAGGATGCAAAAGAAAAGAGAAACAACCTTTATAAAGCTTTTCTGTTTGGGTGGGGCTGGGCTTGGCTGTCAGCTCTGCTTGTGCCAGGGCACGGCTGCCAAGAGAGCATCGGGAGGCAGTGGGGGATGTCCTGGGGGAATATCCTAGGGGATGTCCTAGGGGATGTCCTAGGGGGATGTCCTGGGGTGTTCTGGCCTTGCTGGGAATCTCTGCTCCCGTGGGTACCACTCAGGGATGCTGCCCAGAGCCTCTCAGCATCCCTGTGGCTGCAGGCAGCGATGGCAGCAAGGGTTTGTGAGCAGCTCTGGTGATCGTGGCTGTCAGCAGGAGGCTTGGCCCCCGTTAGTGTTTGGACTTGTTTTTCAGCAGGGAGAGTGGGACATGTTGGAGCTGCAAGGGCATTGCTGCTCAGAGGCTTTGCTGCTGCCAAGAGCTCGTTTTTATCTTCCTTCTGAGCTGGAGGAGAAGTCAGCTTTGAAACCAAAAGGGCTTGTTGTCAGGTTTTGCATGTATATTGCTGGGAGTTGTACCAGGAGATTAAAAATCAAAATTAATAGGAGCCATTAGGCAGCTTCCTTGATAAAAATGCATGTTGCATTGGGGTGGTGTGGAAACTGGTCTGAATGCTGAGCCTTTTAGGATCCAAGGGACATGACTTGCATGTGGAGTAGCCACCCTTGGGTAACACTTACATGCCTGGGTTTTGACTTGATGGTTTAAAAAGTAAACAGTGTGTGTGTGTGATGGCTGTATCTGTGTTTCAGAGGCAGTTTTACATCCCAGGTCTGCACTGCTTTGGGAGATGATGTTTGTTTGCTGCTCCAGGAGGGGAAACACCCTGGGGACAGCAGCTCACTCTGTCCCCAGGTGTCCCCTGGGGCCACCGTGGTGGCTAGTCCAGGGCAGGACCTGGCATGTGAGGGGAGCAGGAGGGGTGACGTGGGAGCAGGAGAGCCCTGTTTGAGATGTCCCGAGGTGGAATGAGCAGGAGTTCCTGGCTGGCTCTGTCTGGGGGTCCGGGATGGCTCCGTGGTGGCAGTGCTGACATTGCACTGTAAGCACAGTGTGGGTCAGGTCTGCTCTGCTGCTGCTTTGGTGGGACCCACTGGAGGAGAAGGTCAAGGTGGAGGAGCAGCCCCTGATCCAACAGGACCAGAGTCCTCTGGGGACCCCACAAACCAGCAGCTGCCAGAGCTGTGGCCAGCACCAGGGGGGCTGTGGCCATCCACTGCCTGCCTCCCCGATGGCCACCATCAGTAAGATGGGGAATTACTGGTTTTAGTGATAATCCTGGTCTAATCCCCCAACCTTGATACACTCTCTCATAATCCTCACTCACACTGATTTAGCTGGGGCTCCTCGTGCCTGCAGGGATTATTTGAGGGGGCAGCAGTTGCAGGATGAGGCCCCGTTGGTTTCAGGTCTGCTTTGTACTACCTGGAAAGTGTTCTCCTCGCTGTGGGAAATGGTTTTCTAAGCACAATAGAGCAATTTCCGTTTCAGGCAGCACCGGCAGCTTTTGCTTTGGCTATCTGGCGGTGTTAACTAAAGCACATTTCTACAACACACAAAGAGTTTTGTTTTGTAAGAAATGAAATCAGCGTGGCTGTTTCTCTTTCTCTGTCATTTCTCTACTTGTCAATTCTTTCTTCCCCTCCAGCTTATCCTCCTCTTCTCCTCTAGCCTTAAAAAGCCCCCAAAGTGTCTGTTATAATCACATTTTGTGTGTTACAACCAGAATGAATGTACTCACTTTAATATGCTGGGTTTGAGGAAATCAGTTTCTGTCTGGTATAACAGACAATTTGTTATAAACCATGCCATTTAGA